TAAAGTGTCACACCATTTTTTTTTACATTGAGTCAATCTTCCCAGCATTTATGTCACGTCAATATTTCCCGCCTTCAATGTCACACTGCCAACACAATGTTGCGCTGGCCAGCCACCATGCCGCCGTGAAGTCGCCGCCGCAGAAACCCTAGCCGCCGCCATCCTCCATTACGCACCTCCACCATCAACACCCAGACGCAAGCAACCTCATCGCGCCACCACCCAATGCGAGCAGAGTTCAATCTCTCTCCCACCACTCTCCCTTCATCATTGCGAGACTACCATCAAAACCTCGTCATCCTCCAAGCTCGCATCAGACCATCACCATGAGCAACCATTCGCCGTTGTTGCGAGCCTCCACAGCCATAACCATCAGCATCGCAAAACCCCCAATCCTCTAGGAAACCTGCACCATGAGGCTTTTCTCAATTTTTGAAAAAAATTCATTCAATCATATGAAAGTTCTAACTTTAATTAATGTAACTTTCTAATTAAAATTAAAAACTCTTGCACACTAATGATTGTTATAGTGTGTAAATTTAATACCGTGTTAACTTACTATAATATAAAAATCATTACTTTTAATTGAGAAAAAAATACATAAATAAAATATAAACCAAAGCAACTATAAAAATAACAAAAAAAAACTATTTCATTCTAACGTCATAATCTATAACGAAGTTACAATAATAATCAATCCTAAAGATTTAGTACTCCATAAAATTTAAAAATAACATAAAAATATAAAAGAATGAAGGCTAAACGTAATTGAGTTCCCAAAAGGTTGTTTTTGAGAAACATTATATCTACATCAAATCATATAAAATTATCTGAGATACAACTCGTTGTATACACAAACTTTTATATAATAAAAGCTATATGATAAAATACAAACAAATTAATTAAACATATAATTAATTAGATATTTAATTACATAACAGTTTCTATTGAATATAAGAGATTTAATTAAAATTTATATAAATAAAATTCATTAATCACATGTGAGTGATGGAAATGTTCTCTTTTTTTTACCATATGAACGATAACATGGAATCAATCTAAATTATTCTTTAAGTACTAAAGGTATATTATTTGTAGAATAAGTTTATGCACCTTTTTTTAAGACTAAAATAGCCAGGTGTGAAATTGAAAGAACATGTTTAGTCATAAAATATAAATATTAAATTTTTTACGTTTGAATCTTATAATTAATTTAATCAGTGAAGAATATTTGACGACAATTTTAAAATATTTTATTACGGTCATTTTTAGCAATATCAGTTCAACTATTAAATTAAAAACTAATAAAAACACCTCATTTTTAATGGATAATTAATTAAAATAATAATACTATTACTGACATAAATATACAATACTTGGTCAATTACTGTATTTGTATATTATTTTGTATTGAATAGCATATGATAGTTATAATTTGTATTGATATAAATGATGATTTCCATTATAGTCATTACTCTTTACTCATAAGTTTACTTTAGAAGGAGAATAATTGATGAAGAAGTTGGAAAAAGTATAGTATGTTACGCATTCCATCATCATTGGCCAAGGCTTGTATCAAGTAGTTGCAAAGCCCAAGCTACACACCATCTTCACTCAAAGCTTAAAAATTAACAAAGAATTACAGAAAAAAAATTAAATTATTTTTTAAATCTCTCTTCGCATTCGTGTCAAGATTTGGAGAGAAACACTATAACATCATAATATATATAAATTTTTATATATATTTTTATCACATTATTTATAAATTTTTATTTATTTTTTCAAATACCATCATCTAACTTTTATTCATAATTATATTTTATTTTAATCATCCAATCTTTTTCAATTAAAATATTTTTTTAATCCATCAAATTTATAACATTATTTATAAATCTTTAATTTTTTTTCAAATACCATAATCTATCTTTTCAAATATCTTAATTTAAAGAATAAGATACAGAACCTTTATCCATTCTTTTGAAACCCCTCCACTCACTTTTCTCTAAATCCTGAACTCAATCTAAACTCAGCCTCAGTTATGGTGCAAGTGTAAGATGCTATTCAGAAAGATAATGATGTAATATTGGATGGTTACCATCTCTTTAAAAGGGTGCATCAAATTAATACGACCATGTTTTTTTTGTTCATCTTTGTCATTGTTGGATGATAGCAGTTCTTCCAAAACACTGCCCTTTTGAGGTCCAGAACTTCAATACACTAATGAACAAAATGCCACTGTCAATTTTCATTCTTATTCTTAAATTGGCCTTTCATCACTCTGCTTTGGCTGTTTGTTGATTAAGAAGAATGGAAAATCATGATTCATGAACCACAAATCTAATGCATGTGTGAGTACATAATTAAAAAAAAATGTATGAATATAAATAATAATAATAATAATAAGTTGGAAATCCCGATCTCCAAGGCCCTGTTTGGTTCAGTGCTTGAGGTTCGTCAGCAGCATGAAGGCCAACTGGCCTAGAATGATGGATGGTGGTCCTATAATTACTCGTCCATTTCTTACTGTCAGTAATACCAAAGGGTCCCACTTACCCTCTTAACCTTTTCCACCACCACCTCGTTTCCTGAACTTTCTCTCATAGATATACTAACAAACACCACTCTTTCTCACGTCACCCACTTGCACCGCAGGAACACACTCTGGGCACCACTTTCACACAAACATCGTCAAAAACACCGAAAACAAACACAAGACACAACACCAACACAAACCTTCTCTCTGTTTCTCCTCACAGAAGCAGAGAATGCAGCGCCTCACCGTCTCCACCCTTCTCCTTTCCCTAACACTTCTCACCCTCGCAGGCAATGCTCGCCTCTCTAAACTTTTCTCTCTCTTTTATTTACTCTGTTTACGTAATGTCACTGACCAACTATCCAGTGTTGTGTACATTGTTTGTTGTTTCAGATGGAGGTTCCATTGGAGTTAACTATGGTCGCATTGCGAACAACCTTCCCTCCGCGGTTAAGGTTGTTCGTCTCCTCAAATCCCAGGGAATGAACCGAGTCAAAGTCTACGACACCGACCCGGCAGTGCTTCGGGCATTATCCGGATCCGGAATCAAGGTGACCGTTGATCTTCCAAACCAGCAACTCTTCGCAGCAGCGAAAGCTCCCTCCTTTGCATCCTCCTGGGTTGAAAGAAACGTCGTCGCTTACTACCCTCACACGCAAATCGAAGCCATTGCGGTTGGGAACGAGGTTTTCGTAGACACACATAACACCACCAAGTTCCTGGTACCCGCCATGAAAAACATTCACCAAGCGCTTGTGAAGCATAACCTCGACTCCGACATTAAGGTTTCCTCCCCCATTGCCCTCTCTGCGTTGGCGAACTCGTACCCATCCTCGTCCGGATCGTTCCGACCCGATCTCGTTGAACCCGTTTTCAAACCCATGCTGGACTTCCTCCACGAAACCGGGTCGTACTTAATGGTAAACGTGTACCCGTTCTTTGCTTACGAGTCCAACGCTGACGTAATCTCTTTGGACTACGCTCTTTTCCGAGAGAACCCGGGAGTGGCGGATCCGGGTAACGGGTTGAGATACTATAACCTATTTGATGCCCAAATCGACGCCGTTTTCTCCGCGTTAAGTGCTCTGAAATACGACGACGTTAACATTGTAGTGACCGAAACAGGGTGGCCTTCCAAGGGGGATAGTAATGAGGTGGGTGCGAGCGTAGAGAACGCCGCTGCGTACAACGGTAATCTCGTCCGTAAGATCTTAACCGGTGGCGGTACCCCACTTCGACCCAAAGCCGATCTCACCGTCTATTTGTTCGCGCTTTTTAATGAGAATCAGAAGCCCGGACCCACTTCCGAGAGAAATTTTGGGCTTTTTAATCCTGACGAGACAAGGGTCTATAATGTTCCGTTAACGCCGGAGGAGCTCAAGGACTACCACGACCGTCCATCACCGGTGAAGGGTGGCAGTCCGAAACAGACCACCCCAGCGCCGGCACCCATCGAGAGCGGCGGCGTGTCGAAGAGCACCACCGGTAACAATTGGTGCGTTGCGAACCCGGATGCGGATAAAGTTAAGCTGCAGGCAGCTCTAGATTTCGCTTGCGGTGAGGGAGGTGCAGATTGCGCTCCGATTCAGCATGGTGCCACGTGTTACGATCCTAACACGATCGTTGCACACGCTTCGTTTGCGTTCAATAGTTATTACCAGAAGCAATCACGCAAGGGCGGTAGCTGCTATTTCGGGGGTACGTCCTACGTGGTGACGCAGGAGCCCAGTGAGTATTCTAAAAATCCCTTTTTTACTTTTACATAATTTAATTCATTTTTAATGTGTGTGCTTTAGAATAGTGTTTGGTAGGGTTACTAACATGAGCGGGGTGAGGAATGCACACGATAAAGAGGCACGTGATAGGGTTGACAAGAGGGAATCTTTTGTGATAACGACGTGGCGTAAATTTATTGGGTAGAGTGTACTATGTAGGACATTATAATTACGGTGCTACAGTGTTGTGTTACTCGGTCTACCCAAATAATACCTCTTTCTCACTGTTTTGGTGAACCCTGTTCCCGAAGGGACTAGGGTAATGGAGGCCAACTAGATGGAAACTTGTAGCTGTAAAAGGTGGTCAATTAGTCAAACATTGGATTCTAAAACCTTTGAAAAACATGGGATTTATGATTGTACTTTATGGGTCTTTAATTTTTAGTTTAATCTATGGATTTGTGATAAAAATGATTAACCATGGTTATTTTTGTGCAGGGTATGGTAACTGCGTGTTTCCTACAGGATACTAAAAAGCTGAAGAAGACTGACATTCCCGCATGAGAATATGCATATGCCTGATTTTGCTTTGTGTAAAGTATGTTATGAGAATGAATGTGTCTGGAAGTGAAACTAGAAAAAGTGGCTAAATTAGTTTGAATATTTTTTTGGGGGTTCTGATTGTGGTAGTTAAATAATGTTGACTTTTCATCAGGTTGGGTAGTTAAATTAATTTTACTTTAAAGTAATTGTATCTAAGTTTAAGTTTTCACTTTGCAGTAGACTTTATCTTTTGATTCCTCAACATCGTTCTCATGTTTCCTTGTATTTGAAACCAAGTTCCTTTTTCTTACAAAGCCTCTGTATTTTCTTTTCTTTTTCCTTAAACTCTACCAACGTAGAGTGAGTAATTCACCGAAGCCCTTACAAATAAGGGGCAAGTGTACCTAACATTCGCCCACGTGGGACCTAAAGTCACAACTTGCACCCTTTTTCATCCAACAAAAGAAGTAGGGCTCGTGTTAGATAAAAACTAAGTGGCCATCACATGCAGTGTTGCCGAAATTTATAAATGAAAAATGATTTCGATAATGAACAGTACACAAGCGAATAAAGTAATAATATCATTTTTTTTTTCACAGATCATTAATTTAGTTTGTGACAATGAGATTGGTTTTAAAATATACAGTAGGAATGACTTTTATAGTAAAAAATGCATAAGATCTGTGACCATACATTTCATTCTTGGCTATAGTTACTGTATGAGTGGTCTGAAAAAATATTGGCTCAAATCATACTTTGGCCAATATATTTCTCTATTATAGCAAGTTATGATACACTTGAAAATATATGTAACTTTTAGCAACGGCTATGTGTTGTTTTCTTAAAAAAAAAATTGGATGCAGTGATGTTACTGTGTCTTAGTGCCATTTCTGTACAAGTTTGTCTGTCGCTGAATTCTTTTATTTTGGGTATTTAGTATTTATGGTTGAAGAGGCAGAAACTATAATGAATTGCTATGATACCAAAACCTGTCTTTGTCAGAAGATGTGTACAATGAGACCAAAATAACATAAACAAATTACATCACATCCTGAAATGTAATTTTGATATACCATGACAATTACAGGATGGATTTGAGGGAGTCATGTTTGTATTTATTTATATGAAAAAAATACAGAGTTGAAATTGGTTACATCTCCACCCTCCATTATTGATGATTGTTGAATTGCTGAAGTCCTGTGTTCCATTACCCTTGTTACTGAATGAGCTTGTTATGGCACCCACTATGCTAGTTTTACACCTTGTAAGCATTAATCAAATTCAAAATTATGAGCTATGAATTAAGGACAATATAAAAGGTGAGGAATTTTTGCATTTAACTAACTCTATTTTAATTACTTCTCATTCTTATAATTATATTTAAAATCATTCTTTTACCATTTATATATTTTATTCTTATTCTCTCAATCCCTGGGCTCAAATAATAATTTCTAAACAAATGTTATTTTAAATGAATAAAGTAATTGTTGAAGTGACCCTAAAAACGGCCAAGGATAAAAGTCAATGGGAAAAAGGGAAGCTTTCAAAGTTGGCCAACGGCCATAAAAAGGAAAAGATAACTCCCATAAACCAAGGTAACAGTGAAAGATAATAGCCTATGATCTGCAACAAATAGTTGATGTTTGCAAAATTTTAGCGAATGATTTGCAGAGTTCGTTTTCAACAAATACTGCTAAAAGTCGACGTGAATCTCGATTGCATCAATATATTCTTTCTTTCATTCATCCGAAGGGTGAGATCAGTTTTTATCTGTTTTGTTTTAATCTATATGTAAATATTTTTATTACTTTAAGTTTATGACACTTTTCAGTCTTCATTATTTTAATTTCGAATATTCTTCACTGTTTAAACTGTTTTAATTAATAATTTATTTTTTAACGTTAAACTAGGAATTATTAATAGTAAATACTAAAAACTAACAGCTATAAAATTTGAATATTTTAACTAACAAATGTTTTATAAAGACTAAAATAGGTTCGTTAGAAGAAATTAAATGCTTAGAAAACAGTTTCGTTGATCATTACGAATTAGCTAACTGTCTTTTTATGAATAAACGAAAAATAATATTAAAATAGATAACTGTAGCAATTAAGAAACTAACGACCAATAAATTATATATATATATGATAAAAAAAATTAAAATTAGCAAGTTTGACAACCCGACTTAGCCCGTTTTAAACATACCTATATCAGTCAGATTTAAATCCGTTTGTCATTAAAAGGATAAAAACCTTTTACAAATATTTTTTTTTTTGTATTTTTGAATTAAATAGTTTTATTCTTTACTAAATTATTGTAACATAGTAATATACAATGGAAAATTTTCCTTTTATATATATATTTCTGCCGACTATAATAAGATGTATAGCTAAAAATTAAGGAAGCAGTTTGTTAATATTATATTATTTGTTGGTGAGTGAGATAACAAGTTAAAGGACAGACTTGGAAAAGTTGGTCATGAAAATTTGTTAAGCTAATAAAGTGACTATCTTTACTATAACAATTTTCCCAATATGTCCTTAGCTGTGGCCCCCCTAACTTCAATTATGTGAATAAAGATTCATACACTTAACTTCTGACATTATTTATAATTGCAACCATATTCTTCTCTCATAGTTTATGTGTACAATTATTTCATGCTTTCTTTAATATTGTTTTATTATTGATTATTTTGTACATTTTATTGATAAATTGGTGTAGATGGTGTTGACATACAAAGTACAAGGGTTTCAATGTTAATTAATAAGTGATATAGAAAGTAAATTTTAAATGAAAAGACATAACTGATATAAAGTGTATTATGATTTATATTCAACTAACCTATCGCATTCTACATCTTTAGAATTACGACTTATGTAAAATATTATATATCTTAAGAAAAAATATTTTTACTTTTACATGCACGAAAATGATTTACTATCAAAATCTAAAATATTACAAAACGAGAATTAAAAGAGCAGAGACCTAAAATTTAACTAGACAGGTGAGATTATTGAAATAACGATAAATGTGTAAGATATTAAAAGAGAATTGTAGTTGAAAAAAAAAACCTAAGAATCCATGTTCAAATGAAAGAAAGAACAAACAGATCAAAATGCCAATAAAATTTTTTACATAAAGGAAAAAGTTTGCATATTATTTAGTTTTATTATGTTTAACTGTTTATATACTAATATGTTTTTTAATTTATTGAAAGTAAATAGTAACTTCTGAAAATTTTGTGTGTATAAGTTTGAGTAGAGTTGAGTTTTATATACCTATAATGACTCAATTCAAAATATGTCAATTTTTGTCTCAAGTGTGCAAGAATGACATTTTAAGATATTTTTATTATAATGTTTATTTATTTTTGTTAACGTTTTCTTTTTATTTTCCTATCATGTAGTTTTTAGTAATATGATATTGTTTGTATTTGGGTTATTTATAGTATAAAACTATGGACTTTTCTCTATGCGTGTTATAATGAGATCTTACAAACTTTTTATTATAACTTTTATTTACTTAAATGTTTTGAATTTTTACTTGTTTAACCTTAGTTTTTACTGTAATTAACCTATATTATAAAAGCCAATTTGAAAAAATCATAGCCCATTAAAATATTCTCTAGCTTCTTTGTCTTATAACTACTTTTTCCAATTTCTCTCAAACTCGTATTTTCTCAAATATTGTTTTTTCTTCAAAAAATAAAAATAAAACTAACTACTAATCAGCTATTTATATATTCCCTGTTTAAAAAACTCATATTTACATTTACAAATTTAACTGTGAACTTAAAATTAGGTTAAATTGTTGTGAGTTCTATAATCTTGTGTAGCGGATGGGGAAAGGGGAAAAAAGATAAATGTGAAGGGATGCTTTCATGCTGACCTAACAGTCCTAAAAAGAAAAACCAACTCCCAGAAGTAGATAAGGTAACAAAGAGAAAGTTTCAGCCATTGTTCAAGAATGTCCCATATATCATGATTTCAATAAAATCTTTTTTCTAACGAAGTATCAAGTATATTTACAGGCTTGAAAATTATTATTTTTATTCATGCCCCATTGTTTATTTTAGAACATGTCTTGAAGATTAAAGAAAAAACTGTATTCAAATTGATTTTAATTTCGACTTTTAAACAATGTGAAATTATTAAATATATCAAAACAAATTTCTAAGATTAAGAAAATTTTCATCTTCATAAACAAAATTGATGTTGGAACCTTAAGTCGGTTGAGATAAGAACGTTAAAGTGAATTACCTCAATTGTTTGCTTCAGAATTTGAAATTCTATCACATTTATTTTAAAAATATTTCAAATTATTGAAGGAGAGAAATGTATGTAAAGTAACCTTAATTTTGACTCTTAAATCATATAAAACTATTGGTATAACCAAACATAAATTAATCATTATAAATCTTCTAAAAATTAAAGGTGAAGATATTGAATACAAACAATTACCGATGTACACTGAAACGAGCATCTTGAGCATCTTTGACAACTATTTTTAGAAAGAGGTAGACGTTGAAAATATAAGTTAGACATAAATTATAGATAACATTCTCCACATCATGATGGGAGTCAGATAACCTAAAAGTGCATCTTATGCTCTATGGTAGTTTTTCCTATACGTCCTTGCCTGGGTCAGGGAACGTGAACCCATGTGAGTAAAGATTACCTTATCTATGCTAGTTTATGTAAATTATAAAAGTGCTAACCTTTTAATACAAATTCACATGTACCGTCTAATGGGATTAGGTATAGGTAGTGTAAAAAAAAACCTTCATTGCATGGCTATATATACAGGCAACAAGTCTTCTTTTATACGTATATATTTTTATAATAAATTTATTAATCATATGATAATTAGTTACCTGTCCTCTGTTTATATTGCAAATAAAAACATTATCAAAATGTTCAACAGTTTTTTTTTTCTTTTTTTTTTCCCAACATTACATTAACTAGTAAGGTTGTATAAGAAACTTGAAAAAAACAAGGATGGTGGCATAGAAAATGGAGAAATAGAGTCGGTGGTGCGCCACTGGTCTGTGTCGGGCTATGTTTGAAGGTTGAAGCAGTGAACTAGCTCTGTTACAGAAGTGGGTTTCTCTCTCCACTGCAACCCTAATTTGTCATTTACCTCTAAGTCACATGCTCTGTTCTTCCTAACAGTGAATCATAGATTCCAATTTCTGAACATGCATTATGGCCATTGTCTTGTACCACGGTTACTTGTTTTGGGTCCAATTATAGTACGTGAATTGCTAAACAACGTCAGATTAGGAACTATACACTGGTATTCAAGATCGCACGATCATTTTGACAACAACTTCTTCATGTCATCTTGTGGTTTCGGATTCTGTCGCTGTCGGAAAAAACATATTTAGGGCTTTTGTGACATCACTTTTTGTCTACTGTGCTCTCACTATACGTAGTCTCTTCAGAGTGCATCGTAATTTTAATCACTACCTCTTAATTTTTTTATTAATATCAATTTAATACTATTGCTCATTTTACATGCTAGACCTGTGGCGAATAATAATAACTAATGATTTTAATAATTTGAATGCATGTTTGTAAATACAATCACATGTATGGTAATTAGAAAAATTTGATCACTAATTTAAGTTTCTGTTATCTATTAAGAACGTGTTATGTTAATAGTTTTTTTTAGAGTTTTATACCTATTAGAAATGAATCATTCCTCTTCGTGTAATAATAAATCTATGACCTTCTACACGATTTGCTGAAGCGTCTTCTTATCTAACAACTTTGATCAAAGCAATCATCTTTCTTTCTAATGATCAAAACCTCTTGGGAACTCTCCCCGATCAAATCACCCTTGGAGTAGGTGAACGACGAGAGTCAAATGCTCAATTTCAAACCCTTTCGCTAATCATTTAAGATTTGGAGGTTTGTGTAATGTATAACCATTCGATTAGACACAATTCGAACTATCAACAATTGTCTAGGTAGTCAACTAGGGAACTTGACTAACTATAAAAAGGTCAATAAGTCATGCACCAACCCAGAGCACAAGTTAGCGAGTCTGGCTAACCACCAGACAAACTAATAGGTATGCACCACTCTCGAGCACAAACTAGTGAGTTCAACCAACCGCCGGATAGATCAGCAGGTCATGGACCAGCTCAGAGTACAAGTCACCAAGATTAGTCGGTTACCAAATAGGTTAGCTGGTCATGTACCAACTTGAACAACCAATTACTATCTCAACAAACATAACAACGAGCCTGACAAGCCAACACATAAATCGGTCAACCATGAATTGGATTGATTGAGATGAACAACCCTGAGTAAATCAACCTTAAGACTTATTAACTTAAGAATAAATCATAATTATTAACAATTGGACCATAATTAGGCCAACGTTAATCAAAAACTCATTACTAAACATATAAATAAGGTTTGAAGAAATGAGGTAGGTTACTTACATTAATTATTGAATTAATTGCTATGTGTGAAATGTTGAGCTAACTTTACCATCATAGTATCTTTTTCATGTATCATTCGAATGATTTAGATGAACAAAAAAATTCGCTTTTTGGATAATATTTAGATTTCGGACGATACAACACAACCCAGACGGTTGACATTGACACATCCCCGAAACAATTTCAATGAAATAATTGATCCCATAATTCTATAGTTTATTTTGAGATATTAATTAAATGTTTTAATGGTCATGATTAAATTAAAAATTATCATTATAACGGTCACAGCATGATAGCCAACACTGAGGCAGCACATCATAGGCATCTTCAGCAGGCTGAAACTACAGTGAAGTGTGCATTTTAACAGAAAATGAGTAAATTTTTCATAAATTAAACATCTTAACTCTGAGAGAAAAATAAGATCTTTATAATGATGTGTAGTATTTGAATGCCCTGAAACACAGACACCGGTTCGGTAATTAGTTTGAAATGAAATAGAAAAAATCACTTCACATAGAAATATCACCCATAAGATTGGCTATATTCTATGCTGATATAGCATAAAACAGCACCACTTTCGTAAATAGTTTGAAAAGAAAAACTTTTTCTAGCATATATCATAGAAAAGGGAAAAGCAACGAGAATAGAGAACAGAACACAACCTGCTCCATCCGTTTTTGTGTACTTATTAAATACTGAATTTGACCCAACACAAAGTTTGATTCACATGATCATAAGATGAGATTTAAGACGTTTTGTTTTGGAGCATATTGTTAAGAGCATGTTAAGTGTCATAATTTGTATTGTACCTTTAGTTGGGATATGTGGTCCTATACAATCTATTTCTAATGCTTGTTTTATTTATTTTAAAGTCATAACTTGTTCAAGTTTTCTCAATTTCAAGGTTTGATCCCCAATTTATCCCACAAGTGAAATTTCAACATATTAAACGGAAAATTAAATGAAGTTGAGGACACTAACTGGGAGGTGAAAAGCGAAAACAAAAGTGTGATAAGTTTTGGTCCTCTACAAGCATGAGTCACCAATTGTAATGGAACATGTCACAGATTATGTTGAAACATGTTGTAAACTATTATTATGAAACAATTCATCACAACTTTGTGATAGAATGTGACAAAGTAAGTAAATTATAAATTATGATAAAACTTCTCAGACTCTCAGCTGAAATATATTAGATGAAATTATCAAACTATAAAGTGAAACATGTAAGATGTTCCATCACTATCAGTAATATACAAACCAAATTATTACTTGTATATTATAAACGTGATACAGTGAGATCATTTACCAAGGGTAGTTTGTCCTTCTGTTTTCTCCACGGGAGAGAATGTGTTTGGAGAAGTAGGTTCTTCCACCTGCAATTCATGACGTTCCTCATCTTGATTCGTTTCTGTTATTCTTGATATATTAAGACCATCTGAGAGCTTCCTCCATTCTTCAATTTTTTCCTTACATATCACACGGCACCCACACTTCTTTATTCTTGCCTTGCATGATTCAGAAAAGTTTTCAACAAAAAGTATCACTTCAAGCTGTGTTTGCTCCCCACTTAGATAATGCTGAATATACACATGATCAGCATTCAAGAATATAATATGATGTAAGGGTCCTTGAATTTATACAGCTTGTGCCCAAACTTGGGTGCTATAGGAAAATTTGGGTCAGGATCTTTATCAGGAGCTTTACATACCCAGTAATAAATGCCAATTTCCTCATTGACAGTAGAAGTTGACCTTGCATTAGATGAAGATGGCACATCCATGTTCAAAGGTTCTAATACTAGGCATACTGCAATTCCCCACCATTCACTTAACTGGAAGTCCTCGGATACATCCACTGTTATTGAAGTAACTGAATCACAACACAACTTCTCATACGTTTGATCTGATGAATCAATTTCAAGAAAGTTTTGATTGTTGAACCAAGATGGAATTTCATTCCCTGGTGTTATGAACCAAAGCTCTGGCCCTTCAATCTGTTACAATGCAAGGTTTTTTTTGTTGTTGTAAATTTAACTAGTTAATAAAAGAGTTATTCAGTTTTAACTTTTAATGTATGAGAAAACTTGAATGTTTTAATCACTACAAACAAAAAAGTTAAGTTTTGGTCCTGTGTATAAGAAACATACCGGATCCTCATGTGAATGTAACTCAAAGATCTTCCATAGAGTATCTTCAACCAAGTGAAAGGGTTTCAATTTAGGACAATTAGTTGTGTACAAAGATTGTAAATTTGGTGGAAGCAATGGCAAGGATTCAAGTCTTGGGCAATCATTGAAGGACAAAGTATGGAACATAGAAAGACTAATAATGCATTGGGCAGGTGGGTTAACAAAATTGTTACCACTTAGATCTAAACGCTTCAACAATGATAAAGGACCAAGATCAGTAGGAATTGATTCATCAGTAAGACCTCCATAACTTAAATCCAAGGACTCCAAGGCCAATAAACTGGAAAGAGGAGGCAGAAAGTTTTGTGATTTGGGTGTTGTTTCTTTCCTTCCACCAAAGGAGAGCTCTCTAAGTTTTTCTAAACATGAAGGAATTTCTCTTATGTCAGTACCACTCACATAAAGCTCCTCCAATGACTCATTTTCATTCATACCATCTGGCAGTGTTGAGATTCTTGAGCAGCCAGAAACGTAGAGTTTTCTGAGAGATCTCAAATTGCAAATGGAATTTGGCAGGGAAAGGAGATTTATGCAGTTCTCCACATTAAGCAGTGATAAAGATTTCATGTTGTCTCCAAATTCTGGGAGTTTTTCAATTTTTGAGCAGCCAGAGAGAATCAATTCCTCCAAAGAATCCATTTCCAATTTTCTTGGCATGATTTGAAGATTTTTGCAATCTTTCAGCAACAATAGAACAAGTCTCTTGTGTTGTCCAACTGATGGGTGAACCTCAACAAGGTTTACACAACTTATAAGAAGCAATCTTTCAAGAGATGGAGCCCCAGAAACTATTGGGGTTTGAATTAGATCTTCAGAATAGCTCAAATCAATGAACTTCAGCTTTGCAAAATCCTGACCAATCAGAACAAAAGGTAAATGAGAGAGTAGGGAGTTAATTAGCTTTTCTAGACTTAACTTATTCTAGTATTAAGTTAAAAAAGGATCGTGATTGAACTACTGACTTGATTTCCATTCCAAATCCTTTTTATTCTGCTGGAATGCATTTTCAACTCTACAAGTTCATCTAGCAGCACGCCAAGCGGCGCAGAGATTCCAAAGGATAGTTCATCCACTGAAGAAATTTCAGAGAACTGCAAAGACATTTGAGGCTAGTAGGAAGATTTACACGATAGTTTATGATAAGTAATTGAAGATTATACATCCTTGAGAACGCTTCAGGATCCCAAATAGCTTCTTCCTTTTCAGGCGAGTTCAAAACAATACCTTCAATTGATTCATTTGCCTAGCAGAGAATAATAGTAATGCAGATGAAGTTAAGACATCTCATAAGAAGTTAAAATATAGAGTAAAAATACATTAATGGAATTGGACATTAGCTTAAAAAACTTGCCTTATTGTATTTTAATACTTCATTTGTCTCCTCTAGAGTCCACAGCCTACTTCGTTTTGCCGGATCCACATAACTTTCTTCTTTGACAATTTCCCTTTGCTGATTCTTGAAGCAAATCATGCATCCCTATGGTAAAGCCATCATAAGTTGCCAGTGATTTTTCAACCAGAAGGTCAATTCCAACTGGTGGATAACGCTCACAAATTTCTAGAGCTTGTATCACAAGCTCTTTTATCCTCCCTTTGAAGAAACATGCAATATCAAGAAACAAAGTTTTATAACGTAGCGGCAACCCATTGTAGCTTATTCTAAGCGATTTCATCGCAATATGACTCGGGGGCACTTCCTTTATCATATCCACTACTTTCCATTGGGATTCACTTCTTCCACACAGAAATGAACCTAACAGCTCCAAGGCCAAAGGGAGGCCTCCTGCATATTTGGCAAGAACTTTTGACAACTCCAAATAATGTTCATCAGGTTTATCTCTTTTAAAGGCTTTCTGGCTCAAGAGTTGAAGGGATTCGTCAGAATTTAAGATGTCAATTTTGTAGTTTTCAACTATTCCATGTGATATTAGGACGTGTGTGTCTCTTGTTGTTATTATAACTCTGCTCCCGGGGCCAAACCACTCTAACCTCTCAGCCAAACTCTCTAGTTGGCTAGTATCATCAACATCATCAATGACAAGAAGAACTTTCTTCTTGAATAGAAGTTCTCTTATTGTGTTCTTTCCCTCGTCTAAATCTCTAATTTCTAAGCCTTTTATACCCAGATGAGAAAGGAGTTTTCCTTGTAAACGAAGCCTGCCACCACTTTCTTTTGAAATCTCTCGAACGTTGTCAAGGAAGCAGCTAATATCAAAATGGTGCTGGATTTTCCCGAAGACAACTCTCGCTAGGGTTGTCTTTCCAATGCCACCCATGCCCATATTCCGATAAAGCGAGCGTCATCCTTCGATTCTATCCTTAAAAGTGAGTCCATTTTCTTAACCCTTGAGACAATTCCAACTAACCCATCATTGAAAGATGGCATTTCAGGACGTAGCTTTGTCCATACCGATTCAACAATGTTTTCAATGAGCTCCGTTTGATGCCTGTGGATGAAAATGTATAATCATGTTATAATTTAAACATGAAGAGAAATAAGATAAAAGTTTACTGCTTGTCACATGTATATATTTCACGAAAACTACGATATATTTATATATGTGTGTGTATATATATATATATATATATATATATATATATATATATATATATCCATGATCCAATTTAGAATAAACGAAATGTAACTAAGCATAAGAGAAAAAAAGTACAAGTATCGTTGCTAAAAGAAAAATCAATGCTGAAAAAAACTTACTGGTAATTTTCGGACTCCCAGCCAGCAATTTGGCTAACCTCCTTCAAGGAATCTCTCCATTGTTGCACCTTTTCTGTGTCTTTCTCAAATCTTCTTTCATGTTTCTGAAAAGCCTCTTCAAAACTCTTTGTTGTCTGGTGTTGAACCTCACTAGGACTAACCCCACAGAAAACTGGGAAAACTTTTCTCCCCAGAGCTTTATTTGATTCCAGAATTTTGTTGAGCCATCCAAACACCAAGAGGAAGAGGCATAGTTCTCAGAGAGAATCACAATGGCCCCGAGGGACTCTTTAATTGCTTTAAATAGTTCTTTATCTATCTTATCTCCTTTCTCTAGATTTTTGTCATCTCGGAAAGTTATCATTCCCTTTCTCACCAACGCAGCGTACAAGTGATCTGTAAAACCTAAGCGCGTGTCTTGTCCTCGAAAACTCAAAAAATCATGGTATGTCCATCTCGAAGAGTTTGAGGAAGATTCTCCACTTAACATTGAAGCCTTGACATGCACCCTCGGACAAAAACAGTTCAATTTATGTTCAAAGCTTAAACCGATGATTATATAAGATCATATGTTTTTTTGAGTGGATACAAGCGATGTTGTTGTTTGAATTATACAGTTCTAAAATCTGCCCCTGGAAGAGAAAAAAAGCAGATAGAAAATTTACAGATAACAACTGAGGAATAATATTTTCGTGAATGGATAGGTCATGATGGGAACATGCAGTGTAAATCAGACCATTGATGCAGGTTGAATGAATACTTACGCATGGTTGGCACTCAATTATCTCACTTTTCTGTGACCGCATTTCTTGCATTATTATGATTATTTATGTTTAAACTTTCTATGATTTGTGTATTTGCTGATGTAACTAAAATTGAACAAGAATTATAAAATATATTTTAACTAATTCGTGTTTGGCATATTATCCGCTTTGTTGCAGGCTTATAGATTAAGAAAACTACTGGAAAATGGAGATGTGTACTAAATTTAAATTATTTTTACAACCATTGACTAAATTGTTTTGTATTATTGTATGACCGACCATAGAGGTAATTGGGTATAAAATGGTGGTTTTCTTATTTCATGCGAAATATTTTATTATTTTATGCAGTAGTATTGGGTACTCTTAATTAAGCAATGGTTATACAAGGAAGTTATTGACTGAAATAAAAACTCTACTGTATCAGAATGTTATATATATAATTTGATTGGGTTAAATTTGATTTTACATAAATAATAACCTTTCCGAATATTTTGTCAAAGATGAACTTTCTTTCGAAACGAAGTATATAACTACAGGAAGTTGTATAATTTTAGAGCTTGAAAATATTCATATATAAAATTTATCAGTATGTCTTCAAATAGCTGCAATAAAAAAACCTAAACAGTAACTGCTGCAAATAATCATTTGTGTTTCTTGATGAAATAGGACCACTTGAGTGCTGCCAATTGCACCATTCTTCAACATCTTCCTTAAATATAACACTACACCCACACTTCCTTATACTTGGTTTCCATGCCTTAGAATGATTCTCCACATAAAATATCAGTTGAAGAAGGCATTTTTCTTCATTGCATTCATGAACTGAGTGGCTATGTTCAGGTACTATGGGAAAAATCAAGTCAGGTTCACCATCATGAGCTTTACATGCCCAAAAATAAATGCGAGTTTCCTCATTTCCCTTGGAATGTTGACTCACATGTGATTGAGGAGAAGGCTGCATATTTGAATGTTCTAATGCTAAGCATATTGCAATTCCTAACCATCCACTAGATTCACAGTATTAAGGTGCTTCCACTTTTATTGATGCAGCTGAATCACAACCCAACATGTTATATGGATGATGTGATGGATCGACCAGAAAGCACTCTTCATTCCATTTTTGAATTTCTCTCCCCGGAATGATGAGCATAAAATGTGGCCTACCTTCCATTTGGTAAACACAAACTTTATGGAAATGATTAGGGTGGATAGGGGGTAGATGAGGGAGAGAATGAGGTGTATATAATGAATATACCTGATTCATGTGCAACTCAAAGATCTTCCATAGCATATATGCATCTGAATTCAAGGGTTTCGTTTGAGTACTGTTAGCTGTACACAAACATTGAACGTTTGGTGGGAGCATTGGCAAAGACTCAAGCCTTGGGCAATCAATTAAGGTCAAACTCTTCAAGGCATGAAGATTTCTAATGCAGTAAGTAGGTCTAACAAAATTGTTACCGCTTAGATCTAAGCCCAACAAAGATGATAGGGATCCAAGTTCACCTGGCATTGATTCATCATTAAGGTCACAGTAACTTAAATTCAAGAACTTGAGGCTTGTTAAACTAGAAAGAGGAGGCAAGATTAATTCCTTCGAAACTAGTTTCTTCCTACATATTGATGAGTTGGATGTTAGTTCTTTTCCTCCACCAAAAGAAAGCTCTTTAAGATTTTCTAAACGAACTTTTGTCCCACTGACATAGCAAACAGACTTTGGTAGGCAGATAAGATTTTCTGATTTCTTCAAATCAATCAGTGATAAACATTGCACATTGTTTGCAAACTTGGGGAGCTTTTTAAGTTTTGAGCAGCCAGAATCAATTCCTCCAAAGAATCCATTTTAAACTTTGTTGGAAGGATTTGGAGGTTTATGCAATCTTTCAAGTTCAAAACGACAAGCTTCTTGTGCAGTCCAACAGATTGGTGAACCTTGACAAGGTTTTTACAACCTTCAAGAAGCAAAATTTCAAGACATGGAACCTCAGAAACTATAGGACTTTCAATTAGATCTTCAGAATGGCTAAGATCAATGAACTTCAACCTTTTGAAATGCTGATCGATTAGAACGGAAAAATGATTAGCTTTGGAAGATTATGTGCTAGTATTAAATTGAATGCACAAGATGTTAACTGAGCTACTTACTTGAGAATCACTCCAGATCTTCTTTATTTTGCTGTAACGCATTTTTAACACTACAAGTTTCTCAAGCTTAACGCCAAGCGGCAGAGCTTCCAAAGTACACTTTGTCCACTGAAGAACTTCCAGTGAACTGCTAAGACATTTGAGGCCATGGGGAAATTGTATATTGTGAAAATTAATTATAAGGAATTTGAGATTGTACATCTTTGAGAAGGCTTCGGGATCCCAATTTGCAATGTATGGCTCAGTGGACGACTTCAAAACTATACCCTGAATCGATTCTTTTTTCTGCAAACAACGTTGAAGAGGATTATATCCTTCCTCTTATGACATACAATTGTTCTACAAAAGTTTAGACTGCAGAGAACTTCACAAGCTCATTATAAACCTCAAGTTCAAAAAGGGTTTAAAATGAAATTAAAGATTATCCAAATTCAAGTCATGACATTATATTATAGTGAATGAAAGATCAACTAAGTGAGTTCACTTCTGTTATATGGAGAGGTGAGATACAGATTCATATAAAATTTGTGTAAGATCAAATCAACTTAAAAGTTAAAAATCTTACCTTCTTTCTTTTTAGTGCTTGATCAATGTCATGGGGTGACCACAACCTGCTGCGTTTGCTAGCATCTATCAGACATTTTCGACAACAATTTTTCTTCCCATTTCTTGAAGTAAATCATGCATCCATAAACGTGATCCATCACAACTTACCAGTGATTTACCAATTAGTACATCAATTCCATTTGCTGGACAACGGCAACAAATTGTTAGAATTTGTTCCACGTGCTCTTTCACCCACCCGTTGAAGAAACATGCAATATCAAGAAAAAAAAATCTGATAACTTTCTGGTAACCCATGATAGCTTATTGTAAGTTTCTCCATCACAATATCTTTCTTTGAGTATTCTTTCATATCTAAAAGTTCTTTCCACTGAGATTCGTTTCTCCCAAAGAAGGATGAACCCATCATCTCAAGGGCCAGAGGAAGGCCTCCAGCTTGTTGAACAGCCACTTTTGACAACTGCAATAGTTGTTCTGGTGGTTTATCTCTTTTAAATGCTTTATGACAAAAAAGTTGAAGGGATTCATCAGAGTTTAACAGATCAATTTTACAAATTTCAAAATTTCCAAGTGGTTTTAGTACTTCCATGTCTCTTGTTGTTACTATAATCCTGCTCCCAGGGCCAAACTTCCCTTGATCATTCACACCCAAACTGTCCAGTTGTCTTGCGTCATCAACATCATCAAGGACCAGGAGAACTTTGTTGTTGCGTAAGATACCTCCTATTACGATCTTTCCTTCATCCAAATTTTGGATTGTGAATTCTTTCACTTCCATATGAGAGAGAAGTGTTATTTGTAAGGTAAGCATGTCATGAGTTTTCCCAGAAATCTCTCTCACATTTTCAAGGAAGCAACTAATATCAAATTGGCTACATATTTTCTTAAATACAACTCTCGCTAGAGTTGTCTTTCCTATACCACCCATGCCCCATATTCCAGTGAAGTGAACCACGTCTTTCAATTCCAGCTTCAAAAGTGAACGTATTTTCTCAACTCTTGAATCAATTCCAACCCTTTCCTCCTCGTATGATGGCAATTTAAGACGTATTTTTGTCCATACCGATTTAATAATGTCTTCAATGAGTTCTTCCCTTCCCCTATTGATAAAAATATATAATTTTCTGATAACTCCAATGTCAACAGACATGAAATATAACAGAGCCATTCGCTAATTATTATAGATTGAGTTAAATTTTCAATAATGATAAGTAATTACCGAAATCATGTAGTATTTTGTGTTGTATCTTCTTCCTAATTATGTGTTTGGTTATTGTATCTACCAAAAAACTGAAAATGATGATTACTTACGTAGATAAATTAACACAATCAAAACTCACCTATCCTTGGACTCCCAGCCAGAAAAGTCCACAACTTCTTTCAAGGATTTCCTCCATTGTTGCACCTTCAATTGATCTTCTTCTAATCTTCTTTCATGTTCTTCGAAAGCCTTAGCGAAACTATTTCTCTGGTGCCGAACATCGGAAGGAACGACTTCATAAAACACAGGAATGACTGGTTTTCCCACATCAAGAATCTTTCGAAGTTCCTCCAAACACCAAGTGGAGGCGGCAAAATTCTCGGAGAGAAGGACAATGGCAACAAGGTACTCCTCCATTGCCTTCTGAACTTTTTTCAACATCACATCTCTCTCAACTAGCTTATCATATCTGAAAGTTAAGATTCCCTTTCGCTGCAACGAAACACATAAGGTGTTAGCAAAATCTACGTGAGTGCCTTCCATTCCAAAACTCAAATAAACATGGTAGCTCCACCGCGAAGATTCATCAGAAGAACTTGAGGAAGATTCTCCACGTAACATGTCGAAGCTTTCACATTCACAGGTAGCCTATGCAACACATATATAATAGTTTTATACTAGCATGTTTTAGCAGAAACTAAGATGTGTATGTTTCTTCGGTGGATTAATGAAGTGTTGTTTGAGTTATGTAGCTCAACAATTCTTCGCCTGAAGAAGACATTAAACAAGTTTTCAAGAGTTGGATAGGTGATGGACAGAAACAAAGTACCTTCAAATAATGTTGATGACGTTGTTAAAATATTTCTTACTTTTTTTATAACATTATTATATGGTTGCACGCGGTTTATGTTTGATGTGAGCATATAGATACTACACGAAAACCAATCTTTACGAAATAATATGGATTTTGTTGAGTAGAGGATATCTTCATCTCCTCTCATTCTTTGATTCCTTTTGAGTTTCATAGCAATATTCAGAGATATTAAAACTTTTACTATTATTCACTAACGAACCCGAGAGCACCCAAAGTTACTGCTGAAAAAAGCTAAATTCAATTTCCAGTCTTGTGGGCAATTGCAAGGAAATAACTCGGTTAATCGTGTTTTTATTTTATTTTTCCACTTATTAATTACGAAAAACCACTTTACGTTCAATCTGTTTCCACTTTCAAATATTTATACAATCATTTTTTTTTCTTGTTTTATTCATAAATATCAGAAAACAATGTTATATAAGTCGTGCTTTTGCCCCCGGACATCGACTCAGGTTCAACAGTTGACAGAAAACCTTCAATCTGTTAAGAACATCATCGGTAGAAACACTGATTTCAAGATCACGAACCATTGGTTTGACAAAAGGGAAATGATTTACAAATATGAAGTACAATATGAGCTGATAACTGTTGATTCAGTGGTAGTCCAATTACTTTTTAACAAACTTGATGATAGATGTCGTCGTAACAGCAGAAACCAAAATAGAATCGAAGTCATCAGAAAAACAGGCTACCCCAAGCTGCTATAAACGCAAGGCCACCGAATGGAGCCAAAGTTGAATATTTTCTGTCTTCAAGAAGTGCAACAGTATAGCACCTAAAAATTCAATACAGCTTAATGATCATTCATCATTCCAATACTTTTTACCAATATTTCCAACCAAAAATCAGAGCATGCAGCAACAAAATATTATTATAGACCAGGCTAGTTAAATGGAGAAAGGTTATGAAACGAATGGTAAATCAAGGCATAAGTTATTCTTGTGCTCAAGAACGAAAAAGTTAAAAAAGCATCCAACCTGCTTAGCACATCAAGCAATCAGCTATTGGATACAGTGCCTAAAAATAACTGCTTCAAACAAAGGGATGTAAATTCTAGAACTTTGTGTTCATTTGTTGTGCGGAGACGTAGAAACTATATTTTGGGTCTCCAAAATGTAAAGGTAATTGGATTACCTTCCAAAAAGATATTGAAAGTCAGATAACATATAAATGTTAGAATTTCCCAAGCTTCAACCGACAAACTAGCCCTAATTTCTGTATTTTTCGAGATCACTCGGACTCACTGGTCACATATAGGGAGCAGTGACATGTCCTAGAAATGTTTGCAACCAGCTACATTTTTCGGTTGGGGCGGGCAAAAACCCAAATTGCTAGTTTTTCCTTTTTCTTTTCCCCAATCAAAAGGCATGCCTTAAGAATCTTAGAACACACTCACACCACGCTTCTACCTAAGTGGACAATTTAACTTTGTTGAAGTATTATAGGTTAGTCACATCTTATGAATTTTAACCATCCATTGTTCGGCATCCCTAACTCCAAAATTAGCCATTATACTTTCAGAGTTTAGACCCAAACGTTGATTCAGTAAGAGAAATTATATCTGATTACATCATCAACATAAATAAACTTGATTAACAATGCAGCAGTTCCCTTCCCTTTTTGAAATCAATGTCTCCCTTCTAAATTTGGTTCAACAACCCCTGACATGCTTAATTTTTTCATATGGAGGACTCCTTCAACCAATAGTCAACAACAATGCGGCAATGACTCAGCTTTTAAACCTTGGTGGCTTAAATATAAGCTTCAACAATGTCCTGAATCCTGAACAGATGTACATCTTGACCTTCTTAATCAAACTTTAAATATCTTTTATTCGATTGAAATTTGTCTCCAAGTTCCCAAAATGGTAAGAACCTCTTTCACTAAGCTCAGCTTTAATTTTTCATATAAACTCCGGTCCCAAAAAAAAAGTTGAAAAACATTATCTCTAGTCCCAAAATAAGGTTAACAAATAGCTGGAAAAGACATCCCTGGTAAAATACAAAATGCGAATTGAAATAGTAAAGTTTGAGATAAAACTTACGTCCCAGAGAAGGCCAAGATCCCAGTTGTTAGAAGGCCTCCAAACTGTAAAGAAGAAAACCATGAGTGAAAAAAAATGACGTCTTTATTTCATAAATACTCATCATAGCAATAACATTCAAAGGGTTCATAAGGGAAGAGCAAGTAGGAAAAAATTCTGAATGAGAACTTACAACAGTGGGGTGTTTTGTAATTGGGGCGGCAACTAACGCAGCGGTGTGAACCAAATGGTAAAGCGATGCTGTGTGCCAAACCTTCACACACAAATTCCAATTTAAACAGGAAGAAAAAACCAAGCTTTTTGATGGAACAGAAATGGAAATGAATGAGGAGAAAGTTCAGAGTAGAAAGAGACTTCTTTGTAAGCAGGGTTTTGGGGTTTGAAAACGTGAGCACCATAGGTTCCCAATCCAAGTGCTGCAACGCCTGTTTAAGTTTCAGTGAATTATAGTTTCTGAAGAAAATTATGTGAATTGTGATAAAAGAGTGAAGACGATGAGAAAGGAATTGAACCTGAAATCGCTGCAACTTTGTGCCACACCTGAGGATCCATTCGCAAGCAATGTATAATTGTGCACGTATTCTCTCTTGGTTCACTTAAGCCAAGGGCGTGGCAATACCTACGACCATCTAACTGTTGCTTATTTTATTTTCGTTTTCTTAAATTTACTTTTTTAATGGGTTTAATTCATGATACAGGAGTACTTTAGTTTTGATACTCGTTTTATTTTTTTATTTAATTTTTATAACTTTTAATCGTTTTATTTTTTAAGAATAGGATAAATTGAATGAATTTAGAGATGAAATTTATAAAAGTTTGTGAATGATGATTAATTTATCCTCACAAATCTTCTCATTTTGGTGTGATGTAAATCTTCTTCACTCGCTCATAAATAGTTAGAAACGAATAACATGTCCAAGTTTCATATGGTATCCAACAAAATTGATAAATTAATATTTTAGACATGATAAAATGACATGTTATCGTAAAAGTAAAGTATTAGTTTTACCTTAGTGGACATGCAACCAATTCAATGTTTCCAAGCTCTTAAATTATTGATTATTATAAATTTTTATTTTTTATGTTAATTTTTCTCTCTCTAAATTTTATTCTCAATTCCCAGATTAATTTCTTCCATAATCTCTAACGATAATAAGATTTTCTTGACTATATTATAACAATTTATTCCCTTTATTTTCTTATCCGTGATTTCGACTTCTTTTTTTCTCTCAGTATTAAATTCTAGAAAATTATTAGTTTAACTTTCATAAAATTTGTAATTTTGATGTAATCCGGAACTTTAAATATGTTTTCGTTATTTTCATCTAATTGAATAAAAAAACTAATATGTCCATTTAAAAGTATCACGAAGAATAGTTTGAGTAACTAAAAGAAATAAATATAAGCAAAAAATGAAATCTGATTAATATTGCGAATTTTCTGAAATCTAGAGACTAAAATCATAGGGGGAAATAACAAAACCAAGATCTCTGGCTCTGAACCAATTTCTGGTAAGACGAGTAATACACAAAGCTGTTACTGATTAATAAGTCATTAAGTTTTGGCACAGATCACAAATTAATCAAAGCCTAAGAATCCTATGACATGGCCAAATACAAGTGTACATAAAAAACAAAAAACAAAACTAAAAGCAGTGCACCCTTGAAAAGTTTGAACGAGGAAAAAAAAAACTAAACAACAAAATGAGTGAAAGATAAAAGAGATCAGGTCCAAAATCCTAGTGTTTAATGGGCAGAGTGGCTGGTAGTTGTTTTCTTAAAATCAATCTTATCAACCTTAACCTCTCCATCGATAAGTTCATATACATAAACCACAACTCGAAGACCATCGATATCCATAAGGACAAAGCTTGGGTTCACGTCATAAGTGATACTGCTGTAGGCACCTGTTGCAGAACCTGGATTTATAACCACACCTCCCTCGTGTTTGTAAGCTGTAAATTGATGGGTGTGACCTGTGACAAGGATGTCTACATCCAGCTGCCTCTGTAGCATTGCCAGTGAGTCTAGGTCTCCCCATGGAATAACCTTCACAATCAATAAAGACTCATATTATCATATATAAATGCATTATATAGCAAGGTTTAGGTTTCTACTAAACAGAAGCAATAACAGTTTCAAAAAAAAAAAAAAATCTAATCACGGCAGGAATACGGTTGAAAAAATAAAATATAACAGATCCGAACTATAACTGTTAAACTTAAACACCATCAAGAAAGACGGGAAAGAGACTATAAATAAACCTATACAAGTGCAGCGTAGCAGAATGAAGGATATCATTTAGCTCATATTAAAGCGGTCAGCTGTAGCAAAGTAACATACAGCAGGAATAACTACAACTCCAACCCACAAACCTTTGATGGAAAGACTCCAGTGCTGCACCCAAAACGGCCAAGAAAATCCTATACGATAATATCTAGAAGGCGAAATGGTGCAAATGAGTTCTTCTCATTAGAAACCACTGTTTGTGGCCCCATCCATACTACTCGATTTTGATCTATTACAGTAGCTTTTGTGGTTTTAACTTTTTTGAATTGGTCCCAATTTTGTTAAATGATACATTTCCTTCATCTCATCCGGTTACCCATTCCCGTTGAGTCCAAGTTCGACAGAAATCAATTGTTCAGAAATCTTAATTATATGTTCTTCTTTATACAGGAAATAATAGGGGAAATGGTGAAAGGATGTGTAGGACATCGGGGCATGTTGGAAACCGATTAATTCTGTGTGGTGCCAAAACAGTTTCAATGGAGAGTGCCATTTGCCACAAATTTCGCTCTAGGGTTGCAGGCTTGTGAGATGTGACAAATTTTANGGCTTAAATATAAGCTTCAACAATGTCCTGAATCCTGAACAGATGTACATCTTGACCTTCTTAATCAAACTTTAAATATCTTTTATTCGATTGAAATTTGTCTCCAAGTTCCCAAAATGGTAAGAACCTCTTTCACTAAGCTCAGCTTTAATTTTTCATATAAACTCCGGTCCCAAAAAAAAAGTTGAAAAACATTATCTCTAGTCCCAAAATAAGGTTAAGAAATAGCTGGAAAAGACATCCCTGGTAAAATACAAAATGCGAATTGAAATAGTAAAGTTTGAGATAAAACTTACGTCCCAGAGAAGGCCAAGATCCCAGTTGTTAGAAGGCCTCCAAACTGTAAAGAAGAAAACCATGAGTGAAAAAAAATGACGTATTTATTTCATAAATACTCATCATAGCAATAACATTCAAAGGGTTCATAAGGGAAGAGCAAGTAGGAAAAAATTCTGAATGAGAACTTACAACAGTGGGGTGTTTTGTAATTGGGGCGGCAACTAACGCAGCAGTGTGAACCAAATGGTAAAGCGATGCTGTGTGCCAAACCTTCACACACAAATTCCAATTTAAACAGGAAGAAAAAACCAAGCTTTTTGATGGAACAGAAATGGAAATGAATGAGGAGAAAGTTCAGAGTAGAAAGAGACTTCTTTGTAAGCAGGGTTTTGGGGTTTGAAAACGTGAGCACCATAGGTTCCCAATCCAAGTGCTGCAACGCCTGTTTAAGTTTCAGTGAATTATAGTTTCTGAAGAAAATTATGTGAATTGTGATAAAAGAGTGAAGACGATGAGAAAGGAATTGAACCTGAAATCGCTGCAACTTTGTGCCACACCTGAGGATCCATTCGCAAGCAATGTATAATTGTGCACGTATTCTCTCTTGGTTCACTTAAGCCAAGGGCGTGGCAATACCTACGACCATCTAACTGTTGCTTATTTTATTTTCGTTTTCTTAAATTTACTTTTTTAATGGGTTTAATTCATGATACAGGAGTACTTTAGTTTTGATACTCGTTTTATTTTTTTATTTAATTTTTATAACTTTTAATCGTTTTATTTTTTAAGAATAGGATAAATTGAATGAATTTAGAGATGAAATTTATAAAAGTTTGTGAATGATGATTAATTTATCCTCACAAATCTTCTCATTTTGGTGTGATGTAAATCTTCTTCACTCGCTCATAAATAGTTAGAAACGAATAACATGTCCAAGTTTCATATGGTATCCAACAAAATTGATAAATTAATATTTTAGACATGATAAAATGACATGTTATCGTAAAAGTAAAGTATTAGTTTTACCTTAGTGGACATGCAACCAATTCAATGTTTCCAAGCTCTTAAATTATTGATTATTATAAATTTTTATTTTTTATGTTAATTTTTCTCTCTCTAAATTTTATTCTCAATTCCCAGATTAATTTCTTCCATAATCTCTAACGATAATAAGATTTTCTTGACTATATTATAACAATTTATTCCCTTTATTTTCTTATCCGTGATTTCGACTTCTTTTTTTCTCTCAGTATTAAATTCTAGAAAATTATTAGTTTAACTTTCATAAAATTTGTAATTTTGATGTAATCCGGAACTTTAAATATGTTTTCGTTATTTTCATCTAATTGAATAAAAAAACTAATATGTCCATTTAAAAGTATCACGAAGAATAGTTTGAGTAACTAAAAGAAATAAATATAAGCAAAAAATGAAATCTGATTAATATTGCGAATTTTCTGAAATCTAGAGACTAAAATCATAGGGGGAAATAACAAAACCAAGATCTCTGGCTCTGAACCAATTTCTGGTAAGACGAGTAATACACAAAGCTGTTACTGATTAATAAGTCATTAAGTTTTGGCACAGATCACAAATTAATCAAAGCCTAAGAATCCTATGACATGGCCAAATACAAGTGTACATAAAAAACAAAAAACAAAACTAAAAGCAGTGCACCCTTGAAAAGTTTGAACGAGGAAAAAAAAAACTAAACAACAAAATGAGTGAAAGATAAAAGAGATCAGGTCCAAAATCCTAGTGTTTAATGGGCAGAGTGGCTGGTAGTTGTTTTCTTAAAATCAATCTTATCAACCTTAACCTCTCCATCGATAAGTTCATATACATAAACCACAACTCGAAGACCATCGATATCCATAAGGACAAAGCTTGGGTTCACGTCATAAGTGATACTGCTGTAGGCACCTGTTGCAGAACCTGGATTTATAACCACACCTCCCTCGTGTTTGTAAGCTGTAAATTGATGGGTGTGACCTGTGACAAGGATGTCTACATCCAGCTGCCTCTGTAGCATTGCCAGTGAGTCTAGGTCTCCCCATGGAATAACCTTCACAATCAATAAAGACTCATATTATCATATATAAATGCATTATATAGCAAGGTTTAGGTTTCTACTAAACAGAAGCAATAACAGTTTCAAAAAAAAAAAAAAATCTAATCACGGCAGGAATACGGTTGAAAAAATAAAATATAACAGATCCGAACTATAACTGTTAAACTTAAACACCATCAAGAAAGACGGGAAAGAGACTATAAATAAACCTATACAAGTGCAGCGTAGCAGAATGAAGGATATCATTTAGCTCATATTAAAGCGGTCAGCTGTAGCAAAGTAACATACAGCAGGAATAACTACAACTCCAACCCACAAACCTTTGATGGAAAGACTCCAGTGCTGCACCCAAAACGGCCAAGAAAATCCTATACGATAATATCTAGAAGGCGAAATGGTGCAAATGAGTTCTTCTCATTAGAAACCACTGTTTGTGGCCCCATCCATACTACTCGATTTTGATCTATTACAGTAGCTTTTGTGGTTTTAACTTTTTTGAATTGGTCCCAATTTTGTTAAATGATACATTTCCTTCATCTCATCCGGTTACCCATTCCCGTTGAGTCCAAGTTCGACAGAAATCAATTGTTCAGAAATCTTAATTATATGTTCTTCTTTATACAGGAAATAATAGGGGAAATGGTGAAAGGATGTGTAGGACATCGGGGCATGTTGGAAACCGATTAATTCTGTGTGGTGCCAAAACAGTTTCAATGGAGAGTGCCATTTGCCACAAATTTCGCTCTAGGGTTGCAGGCTTGTGAGATGTGACAAATTTTAATGGACTGAAATAAATTAACTTTGGCTTGGGTTGTAATTGATATTTTACAACCTTCCAATTCATCCCAAATAAGTCCCAAGTTATCTTAGATATTCGATTTTCTATTGATACATCAAAAGGTAATTTCTTTATGATTTATCCATGCTACCAATTTTCTTAGGTCCATTTTAGATAAAGCCGGGAAAAAGACTCAAAATCAGACCTGATGACCATGGCATAGTCCGAGCTTAAATTGGCCAATGGTTAGTGTTTTGGTCTCTGGATATTTCGTCTCTTCATCATACTCACCGCGGGTTATATGCAAGTCTGGACAAAGAGTCTTTAAGTAGTCATGAATTTCCTGAGCAGAAATGAAGTAAAATTAGCTTATGCATTCAACCATAAAAAAAATCTAACTTTATATCAAGTTAATGTGAATAAAATATGCAGTATATAAAGAAAAAAACATAACAAATCTAATGAATTATTTTTATTAGGTGCAGAGAGATAATTAATGCATTACAAAGGGGGGTAAATAAAGCATAAACAGAAGCTGTTGTCCTACAAGAATGTGACAGTACTGTACCCCTGATACCAGGGGTAGTATTGTTGAACAACCTAAATCATTATTGCTCCATTCTGTTGTCATCAATAATAACACAGTTTCACTGATCTTAACAGGCTTGATAACCAGTTTTATATGCACATAAAAATGTTTTGGGCTACTGAAAAGAATGTTCAATAATATATACAAGAAAACAGGGTGTGGGGAGACAATGAACAGTCTTTCAACTTGCCCTTTGGAAATAGCAATAATGGATGTTATAGGAAAAATCAGGGAGCATCCCACCAGGCCTCAACACAATGTCACTGCCCACAGAAACCATCACAAACCTTCCATGCAGGCACCAACGATTACCCCAAAATTACAAATTGTTCAACACTCATCAATTTTCAACCAATGAATCACAATGATAAAATAAACAACACAAACACTGACAAAACAAAATTTGATGTGCTCCACAGCAAAACGTTCTTGTAAACACATGTAATGAGAGCAAACCTTTCCAAATGACAAGGGAGAACATTTTATTTGTCAAAAGACAAGGGAAGATGAAAATTTCAGACCTTCTAACCTGTGTCATGTGTTCATTCATAATAAAGAAGTTGAAAACCATAAAGCAGAAGATATTGATTATATTCAAACAAAGCATGGCAACAGTCAAAACTGAACCAAGAATAATTATTTCAATAAGATGGACATACTTTAACACATAAATTTCCAGTACAAATTATGTGTTGGATCTTGCCAGGGACAAGCATGGATTTGAACTTTGCAGGAAGATCAGGTGCCCTGTGGGGTATGTGCAAATCCCCCAGGGCTAAAACAAGCACCATCCTCAAGAATCAAAAACCAAAAGTGTACTCGGGGAACCTGCTGAAACAATCAATTGCCCATATATAAAGAAACAGTTATTAACTGCTAAGACAATTTATCGAACAGAATTTACCAATTGCGGTAATCAGAAATTCATATCAACGTTAGTTTGCTAAAATATAACCTGCTTTGAAGAGAGAATGAAAACCTATCCACAACTTCATCAAATCTCTTATCAATCAATAAATCCTTTTTCTATCGTTATATTTTATTACAACAGCCCAAATACCAACCCATGCCAATCGCTTGACCTGTGTCCAGGGGGCTAACTATCCCACATCTTATGTGGAAAAAAGAAAATTTTTGAGGACAAGAGGAACATGTATTATAAGAGAGGATAAGATATCCTCCTGAACAAGAATGAAAGCAAAACAAGCCTATAACAACTTGAGCAAGATAATTAACAAAGAAAAGCTTAAACATTCTCTCAGCACATAAAGAAACCACTATGGAATATCTGCTGGCTGAACACCATAAAGCAGCTAGGAAGAATACTTTATACCAAAGCTAATGTAGTTTGAAAAAATTATCTTTGAAAATTATGGCACTCCTCTCTGGCCTAGGCACCAAATAATGGCACCCATTGGGCACTTGTAAAAGGTTCCCTCTCATTTTATGAATCTCAAACCCCCCAAATGGACACAAGAGAAACCCCCGCAATTTTTGAAGTAATTTTAATATATCTGAATGGTGAAATGAAGTTTCATACAATTCAGGCTTGCATGTCACCGAAAAAACAAGACTGTTAATGTGATAGGTTTTAGTCCCTTAATCTTCATAGGTATTTCCAACTTTTTATGGGTGTGATTCACATGAAAGAAACTATTAATCCGAATATAGAATTTGTGAGAAATAATCCAATAAAAGCTTATCCAGTGTTAATCAATCCCTAATGACCTATTCTATATACAAATACCATTCGTTTCCTGCTCAAAAACGACTATCTTGCTCGAAAAGGAAAAAGAATCTGACCCCAAGAATGCCTGGTTGGAAAGAACAACGCCAGTTAGTGAATTCTTAAAGTTTAATAGTCTTTTACTTGAACAGCAAGAAGCTGAACTTCAGAAACGAAGTTAAAAACATTTCCTCCAAATTATACAATTCTCCATTCGCCTAAAAACATAATAGAGCCACATTTCACATTAACAAATCCACATTTGTTACCACAGAAGCTACATCTATCCTAATTCGAATTCACTTCAAGTTCATTTTGTCACCAAAAGCGAGGAGCAAACAAATTAACCAATTCTCGGAAACCCAAAACGAGCCTAGGGAAACTAATTCCATTTTCTGGGATAAGATTCATGCAGAATCTCACCGATCCAAAAAAATAAAATAAAATATATTAGTCAAACGAATTAGAACACGGGTCACAAGCCTAGAAATCTCTCTTTAAACCGAG